GGGGGGGGGCTGCAGGGTAATTGATTGACATCTTTAAATAAAAGAAAACAATAACATGCAGTCATTGTGGAGAAGGTCAATACCCGACTGATAACACTGACAGTGTTGTGGAGCACTGCTGACAGGCAACTTAGCTTGCATCAACCATGGAAACAAATCAATGAGCCCCCTGTAGCACCGATTCAGCAGCAGAGGAAGATGGAGGGCGGGATCTGCCTGATTACAGCTGAACACATGCCAACAACGTTCACAGGGAATGACTGTTTAATTGGCAGTTACAATGCCAATGATGGTGTATTCAGAAACCTTTTCTGCGCCTCAGCGTAAAACTTGATGCACTTTGAAGGATAGCTTGGTGAACCACAATGGAAAGATGAAAGGCTTCACTGGCTGGCAGATCATTTAAGAATCAACATGAAAAACAAAGCATGTCCTTTTTCTTGAAGTAAGATAAATGTGAAAATAACACAGAGTGCTTCATTTTCTGTGTGCAGCATGCCTCTTTTAGATATTTACAAAATCTCAAATAAACACATGTACGGGCTCAACAAACATCATCTCGTAAGATTTGATATTAATTCACCAGAAATAAGAAGGATTTCAAGTCCACATTTTTGTGAGTCAAGGGTTATGAACAATGTCAGAAACCATGCTGTGGAAGGATTTCAAGCCATGTATCAGATCTAAGCTCACATCCAAGTAATATAATATATAAATGCTTTTTTAATTTGCTCATATCTTCTGAATGATCTCCTCCACTGTACTGGCTCACGACAGGAAGTGTTTGATATTTCAGATCAGAGGATGTTAAAAAGGATTTCTCTTGCCTTTATTCATATTCAAATGCTTCATGATAAATGTAACGTATCTACTGACTGAGAAATGCTGTCCACCAGAGTATCTGCAAAACAAATTAATTAGAGCTATTTCCAATTGAACACAGTCAATTAAGGTTGTTTATCTGTTATTGGTGTTGGAAAAAACACCAGCAAATGTATTTTTGAGAGAAATGAAGGCTCTTTGATTTAGTAAAGAAAATATGATAAAAACCTTGTTATTCATTTATATCTGTGCTTCCTTTTTGTAGGAACATTCAATCCGTCCTAAAAAATATTCCCAAGTTTATTTTTTGATACAAGCTTTCTGAAGTCTGTATCACGTCTTTTACCTGATATAGTCCGAAGTCGAGCCGCAGCGTGGCGACGTATCGCGTCTCGCGGCCGCTGCGGACGTCTCGCAGCTCCAGTTGGATGTCGTGCCACTGGCCGTCCGACACCTGAACCTGATCCAACCGCAGACGCACCGGCCTGGCCGACCCACGGGTCACCGAGAACACCAGCTGACCATTTATCACCTGAGGAACACATACACACAAGAGAATGTGAGGAAAGGAATAAAATAACAAGAGGCTGAGGCTTGTGTGTGTGTGTGTGTGTGTGTGTGTGTGTGTGTGTGTGTGTGTGTGTGTGTGTGTGTGTGTGTGTGTGTGTGTCTGTGTGGGGGACTGTGAAATTGAAATCTTGGCTGCACCCGTAGACGCTGCTAATTCAATACCATTG